CCAGAGGACAGAATCATACCACCATGCTCAATATATGTTTGTTTTGTTCTTTCTGCTTCTCCATAGTAAGAAGATAGGTGAAATAAGCAGTTATCTATGCTCTAAGATAAAGCGCTTAAAATTCTGAATGTCAGTGTTAAGATTTGTTGTTATGGAGAATTAAAAGCATGAAAGCATTAGCTAATTTCCAGTTAAGTGTAGCGAGAGCCTTCTTTTTTAAAAAGGAAACTCTGAGAAAGGAGTTGGAAGGACAAGGAAAGTATACTGGCTATTCAAATCTGAAATAGAAAGTTATGAAAGAATTAACATTTGGAAAAATATAAAATAATTGCATTTCAGTTAAAAAAACAGGAAAAAACTAAAGATCAATTATTTTGAGATAGAAAACCTCAAGAATGCATAAAAACAATAACTTGAATTATAAAAGAATACTTTAGCAAAAGGAAAAAATGTGTAGGCTATTTGTGTATATATGTGTAATATATGACATTTCTGAGAAAAGCTAATTTAATAAATAGTTAAGAACCTTTTATATGCCTGCTTCTTTGTTTGAAAATAGCTATGGGGAAATCAGACAATGTGAGAGTCTAAAAAAATTGCCTTATTGAGCAGAAAATGTAGAAAACTGGTTATAGAGATACGGAAAAAGAAATGATCAAATCTGGTTGTGAAGAGTTGAGAAGAAAGTCATAGGTGATCCTGACAATCACTTAAAGAAGACAGTAATACTTGATTTAGAAGAAGAACTCATCTGTTACTTGGAAATTAGATTTTAACTCCCGTTAGATATACATCTATAGCGTTGTCCTTTCTGACTTTTCCATACTGTGATTACCATGCTGTAGCTGCTGTGTAGTCCCTACAAGTTCTGGCAATAGAGAGTTAACAGAGGCCAGGGGCTCACAACCAGCCAGGCTGCACAACTCATACTTAAACTCAGGGTCTTTCAGCGTCTGCTTGTCTCCGCTGCTGCAAGTCTGACATATCTTGCGATCAGAGCTGCTCCCATAGCAATGTCCGTTTTGGTAATGGCAAGAGTCCCAGTTGGCTTGTGAATGGAACAGGTTAGGAGAGAGAAAAAAGTCATTGTATTTGAAGTCCAAGGAGCACCTGTTTGCTCAGAAGTTGCAGGGTGAATAAGACAAATGCTATCTTTTAAAAAAAATCTCTCTAAGAACTAAAGAAACAGAGCAGTACTTGCTAGATCCATTTTGTTCTTTGATTACAGGAAATCTAGACTACAACTTACTGAGCTCCTCCCTCAAGAAATTGAAAGCAGCTTACAGGAAAATCAATCCGAGGATGATGCTAAGAAAATTGAAGCACTGCTAAATCTTCCTAGAAACCCTCCATCAGCAGATAAACAAGACTAGGACTAAAAATGTTCTGGACTTGAAACACATTGGAGAGTTAAAGGGAGCTATTTTCATTGAATGCCAGTGGTCAGGCTCTAGTTAGCCTGCTGACAAATATGAGTATTGGCACGTGTAGAGTAAGTGATTAGCTTTTATTGTTATTATTTTTACCAAGAATTGGACTGTTGTACTCTCACTTTACTTATCCTTAAATGTAAATACATACTTATATCTATTCTGATTGATCTATGTATTTGACATTATCTTTATTGATTGATCAATATATATTTCTTTCCCCTGGATTTTACAACAGTAAATTAAAAATTTCCCAAAAGATTAAAGTTGAATTCTACAGGTTGTATATTCTTGTAGCCGTTTAAAAGAGTACTCTAGGAATCATTAGGAAGATAAGAAGAAAGAACCAGGTAATACAAATGGTCCAAGAAACCCTGTGGGCCTATGTGTGTATAGTATTTGGTTTTGTTTTAATACAAATCAAAGGTGATTCCTATGCCATTTGAAGTAAAGTGTAAATTTAATTAAAAAGTAGATAAACGTTATTATAAGAAACATCCTGGCTTTGTTCCCTTAGTATTGCTGACACAGCATTTATACTGTGCTGTGCAAGAGTGACTTAGAATAGATGCACTGTCTGTACACTCCACAAGCTTGCTGCCTGGGAAGGAAGCTGTCCTGAAGGTTGTAACTTTTACTAAACAAGGCGGGGAAAGGCTGAATTAAGTAACAAGGGGAAAAACTGTTAGTGCTTTGTTTTGGTGTTAGACCTCTTAGTTCCTACTCTGAAAATACTGTTGTTCACTGGAGCAAGGTTTGTGAAAAGCAGTATGTGTAGTGGCTAAAACTGTGGGCTCTGGATGCAAACCACCAGCTTAGAATCCCAGCATGTGGCTATGCAGCCATGTGACCTGGCACACAGGGCATTTTATTGTAACCAATACTAGTAGGTATAAGGACATGAGAACCTCTGCACCAGTATATTTTCACCATGATTTACGTGTTTTTACCACACTCCGTAAAGAATGTTTTTCTTAATTACCCCATTCATAAATTGCTGATAAATTGGCAGTTTGTCAATCTGTTCATTGTTTTATTTACACCCACATATAGATTAAATCCTTCAACTAGAAATGATAAAATTAGATGCTTGGTTTTTAAAATAATTTTATTCATACCACAAAAATATCAGAATGATAAAAGTAAAATATAACTCTTTGAGAAAATACTACTAACACATTTATTAAATGTAGTAACTTAATATAATTTATTTGAAGTATAAATAAGCCATCTATTGTTTTGTGGCTAATGACTACCTGAGGTCTCCTTTTTATTTTTTATTGAAGGGTAGTTGACGCACAGTATTACATTAGTTTCAGGTGTACAACACAGTGATTCAACATTTATATACATGATAATTCTAGGTACCAGCTATCACCATATCAAGTCGTTACAATATTTTGACTATATTCCTTATGCTATACATTACATCCCGGTTACTTAATTATTTTACAATTGGAAGTATGTACTTTTTTTTTTCTTTCTTTTTTTTTTTTTTT